TATATATACAGATATATACATACACACACACACATGTACACACACGTTTTACATTCTTTACAATGAGCATATATTATTTTTGAAAATCAGAAAAAAATTGGGAAAGAAATAAATAGATGTCGTAATATTTGAAGAAAAAGTTAAAATGAGAATCTAAATAATATGTTTGTTTGGTAGCAGTACACGATTTCTGTTTGGAAAGGAGGAAAATATAAGAGAGATAAATAAGAGTAAAAAAAAAGCCATTCCCTATTAAGATGTCAGTGAGAGGTGGACTATATTATAAAATATGAAGGGAATAAAGCTTGGTGCTATATTGTGCAAAGAGACATTCTGTTTGTATAGATTCCAGTGACAATTATATAGAATAATATAAAAATTAATTTGTGTAGATTATAGATTTTTTTAAAAGGTAAATCAGTTACAGAAGAAACATTTTTTTTTTCTAATCAAACAGAAAAGAATTCTGTATGGTCTGGGTCAAGGTGGTAAGGGAACTAAGGGAGAGTAAAGCAAGAATAAATATATGTTTCAAGGTCAAGCATAAGAAAAGAGGAGGCTTCAGAAACACAAATGAACAGATGAAGATGGCATCAATTCAGTTCAATACTGTCGATCATTTCATTCAACAGGAGATATTGTACACTTACTCTGTGCCAGGAACTTTGCTAGGTTCTAAGCTTGGTGTCTGAATAAATTGAATCCAACTGTTATCTTTCGAATGTTTATTATTTCCCAATGTCCTAGGCACTGATATGACTGAGGTGAATAAAGTACGACTTGAAAGAGCCACCCAAAAGAACAGTTTTGCATACTGAACAATTTTGAACCCATGAAAAAGGAAACAGGATGCATATAAATTGTGGGAGACCCAAATAAGAATCAAGGGGCAGATAATTTAGTAGGTTGTTCATTTGGGACTTTCACTTTAAAGGTTTGCTCAACTAGCAATGAAAGGAAGACCAGCTAGGAGGTGTGTCATATTTGTATAGTGAAAATATTTTTTTTCCAACAAATCATTCTGATTTTAAGGTCATGTTAAAAAATCGATGTTTATTGGAAATGAGACAATTTGGATACCTGGGGCGGGGGAGAGGGGTGGTGGAAGGAGGAGATCACACAGAAGGCAGAAATTCCGTCTGGATAGGCAATATTAGATATATGAACTAAAAGTCATAAAAATATAATAAAGAAATGCTCAGAGAATATGATGGGAATGAAATCTCTCTACAAAAAGAGGCAGCAGTACTAGGGATGTGTATATTTTTCTTACACATGGTGGGATCAAAATGATAGCAAGAAAAAAGGAGTTAAAATATCAAAACTCCATAGACCAGGACAAAGAAGTTGGATGAAAAAGAATAGTGCCAGAACCTATAAAACTGAGGGAAAGACATAATCATCACGTAAAGAGATAAAGTGCAAGAAGGCCAGTGAGAATTTGTGCTATACTCATAAGAGGGAAAGAAAATTTAAAAAGAAATTGATAGATGAAAATAAATTCCAACAAAAAGAAAATAAATACGCGAGGGATTTGGATAATATACAAATATCAAGAATGACAAATTGAGTAGTTTCTCTACAATTTCTTATACATGACTAATACTCAGCATACTATATACGGCATACAGTTATGCTGATAGAGAATAAGGCCACTCTTGTACCTGCTCCTAGAAGGAAGACTGAAAATTCTAAGCCCAGTTTCACCCTCATGAGTTTCAATTTTAGGGTAAGAAGATGCAGGAACCGCCGGTGGCCAGGCTTTGAATTTCTCTGCCCTTGCTGGAAGCCAGAACGCCTACTGAAGAAATGAATGTCCAAAATAGAGCCCTATAAGATGGCTATCATGAAAAAGGTGCTATGGGCAGGCTTTATTATCCGAATAAGTATCAGAGAGCTATACTTATATATTAAAAACAATGTATAATTGAGAATTAAAACCCTAAGCAATTTTAAAGAAAGTAAAGAGAAAGCAGAGGTTTCTCATAAAGGTTATATGATTAACCACATGCTACATTGCTACAACTTCTCAGTTATATGAAAGGACGTTTCACCAGTAAATTAGGAAAAGTAAAAAATGTTTATAGACCATGCTTAATATACTAGTATGCTGAATTCTTAAGAGATTATTATTAAATATTCTAGAATAAAAGCCATAAAAAGCCCAGAGAATAAAATGATTCAATAGATGCATGTATTCTAAATGATATTTTGTTAATCATTTATAATATAGTAAATTATATAATTAAAGATGTTAATGTATAAATACAATGATACATAGTAATAATGTGTAGTTCAACAAATATTGATGTTAATAGAGATAAATAAGTGCTAATGCAAATATTTAATAGGAAAGACTTTAAAAACATTCGTCAAATCAAGTTATTTTCTCTAAAATATACTATTACGGTAATTAAATCATTTAAGATTATTTTTTATTGAATAAGATCCATAGAAGTATTTAGTATCATACCACTTTTCAATATTTTAACTCCTTTAGCAAATGCAGTGATTACACTAAACTGGCTATACACTTGAGTACGGTCCTTGAAAGGCATGTGAGAGCAATCAATGTGCGCACGTAAAAACTTGGTAACTGAGGGAAAGACATAATCATCACATAAAGAGATAAAGTGCAAGAAGGCCAGTGAGAATTTGTGCTATACTCATAAGAGGGAAAGAAAATTTAAAAAGAAATTGATAGATGAAAATAAATTCCAACAAAAAGAAAATAAATACGTGAGGGATTTGGATAATATACAAATATCAAGAATGACAAATTGAGTAGTTTCTCTACAATTTCTTATACATGACTAATACTCAGCATACTATATACGGCATACAGTTATGCTGATAGAGAATAAGGCCACTCTTGTACCTGCTCCTAGAAGGAAGACTGAAAATTCTAAGCCCAGTTTCACCCTCATGAGTTTCAATTTTAGGGTAAGAAGATGCAGGAACCGCCGGTGGCCAGGCTTTGAATTTCTCTGCCCTTGCTGGAAGCCAGAACGCCTACTGAAGAAATGAATGTCCAAAATAGAGCCCTATAAGATGGCTATCATGAAAAAGGTGCTATGGGCAGGCTTTATTATCCGAATAAGTATCAGAGAGCTATACTTATATATTAAAAACAATGTATAATTGAGAATTAAAACCCTAAGCAATTTTAAAGAAAGTAAAGAGAAAGCAGAGGTTTCTCATAAAGGTTATATGATTAACCACATGCTACATTGCTACAACTTCTCAGTTATATGAAAGGACGTTTCACCAGTAAATTAGGAAAAGTAAAAAATGTTTATAGACCATGCTTAATATACTAGTATGCTGAATTCTTAAGAGATTATTATTAAATATTCTAGAATAAAAGCCATAAAAAGCCCAGAGAATAAAATGATTCAATAGATGCATGTATTCTAAATGATATTTTGTTAATCATTTATAATATAGTAAATTATATAATTAAAGATGTTAATGTATAAATACAATGATACATAGTAATAATGTGTAGTTCAACAAATATTGATGTTAATAGAGATAAATAAGTGCTAATGCAAATATTTAATAGGAAAGACTTTAAAAACATTCGTCAAATCAAGTTATTTTCTCTAAAATATACTATTACGGTAATTAAATCATTTAAGATTATTTTTTATTGAATAAGATGCATAGAAGTATTTAGTATCATACCACTTTTCAATATTTTAACTCCTTTAGCAAATGCAGTGATTACACTAAACTGGCTATACACTTGAGTACGGTCCTTGAAAGGCATGTGAGAGCAATCAATGTGCGTAAGTAAAAACTTGGTTCGGAAATGGAAGTGTCGCTGATTTGCATGGCTGTTGCAGTTATCTACATGTTTCCAAGTCACCTCACCCTTCTCTGGGAAACGTGAACCCCTGGCTCACTAACACAGGTTCCAACACTACACTTTTCCTGTGGACCTATCTTTCACCGTATTTCATTGCTCTGTCTTCACGGTTGCACCCTAGACCTTACCACGGTCAATAACTACACCTTCTTCATTATTTCCATTTCACCCATCTGCTCTCCTCTAGGCACTCTGATTTTTCTCTTGCTCTTCTTTGAAATACGCTGCATACTCCTGCCTCAGGGCCGTAGTATTTAGCGCTTCCCTCTGCCTTGAAAGTTCTTTCTCCGCCTATCTGCACAGCTCACTCCCACCATTCACATCTTCAGGTCTTTGCCCCACATCACCTTCTTCGGAGGCCCTCATTGATCATCCTATTTAAAATTTTAGCTCTCGTCTCCACTGGCTTCCCTTATCCTTTCTCCTTTCTTTATTTTCCTTCAGAGCACTTTTTTTTTTTTTTTTAATCATCAGATATATTATCTCTTTTGACCAGAAACCAGCTGGTCAACAACCAGGATCACTGGTCACCTGCATGACAGAGGGCTCTTTGCTCACTCAAACATCCCCCAGAACCTTGAATGGGGCCTACGATGCTACAGGGTCCTCATAAATTTCTGTTGAAAGTATGACTGTGGTAAAATAAAGAAAAGGGCTATTGCAAATCTGTATAATTATATACTTTAAGGGGGGGGGCGGTAAATAAATTAATCTTTGGAAGGCCAATTCAAAATCTGAGCACAATGAGGAACATGATACCAGCTACCACACACGGACTGTCTCTGAGATAGCACATCTGTTTCACTCTTCCCTGCTCTATGTGTTTTACAGCATCACAGGATATTATGTGGGATTCCACTTCCGGAAAACAGTTCCTTTTCTTCCATGTCCTGCTACGTTAGGAACTAGAAATTACACAGTGACTTAACTCCCTGATTAAAATATAGTTCCACAAGGACAGATAATGCTTTTTTTTTTATAGTTTTCCAAAAGAACTGTGTACATGAGAGGTCTGATAGTGAAGATTAGGATCCAAATTCAGCAAGTAGGTTATTTTACTATTTGCCATTAGTTTATTATAGTTGTATAGATTAGCACATAGTAATTTATAATATGATCATTAATTATCACTATATTTATTAATAACTATGATGTCATTATTGTGATAAATAATAATGTTCCATGTATTATTTATTTTTATCAGTTAATTCTCACAACCATAAGATGTCACTTAACACTATTAAGGCAAGAGGGCTCAATAGTGAACTGCAGCAAGCTGGTATAAATAAGAATTCTCTAACCACTTCTCTCTCTTTTGACACTTAATGGTTATCTTTGAGGCATAGATACTTTAAGAACTAGGAATCGGTAGTTTGACTTTCGTTTCGTCCTTTTTGTATGGCAGAAAGGGTGTCTGTATTTACTTTGGATAGCATTACTCGCCAGAATGGTATACACAGTACTTTATGGACAACTTGGGTGATTTCACTGAGTCTTACATAAACTTTGTTATTTTAGAACCTGACAGCTCGCCCTGAGTGCAATACATGACCACAGTCTACATTTTCTGCCACGTATTGTTCTTCCGGCCTGGGACTTCCTCTAGAAAAACAAAAAGCAAAACAAAACAAACAGAAATGAACCCAAGCAGATACTGCAGATGGAGTGATGGTTTCATATTTCCTTTCTTCAAGAAAATTGTGGTTTTCTGAGCAGACCAGCATAGCAACCTGAACACCCATGTGCCCACATGAGTGAGTCTGTCTCGTTTCCCCTCAGTACCAGTGACTGTCAATTGTTACAGAGACCCCAGGTGTCTGTCTAGTTCTCACATGTGTGTATCCCAGGATCTTCACTGGCTACAATGAACTTTTGAAATTCATATGAGCTCAACAGTAATTTATATCAATCAGAGCTCTTTTCTAAGCATCGACAACTTAAAATTACATGCCAGTTTCTATTTTCAAACTTTACAATTTTAAATAAAGATTACTTGATGGACTTCTGAAGATTTTTTACAAGTTTAAAGGGATAATAACAGCCTTTACCCATTTATTTTAGAACCACTTTATTTTACATAGATCTCCCTGAAAGTCCTTTTGATATTAAAAAGCCATCAAACTTGCTTATCTTTGTACTTTGAGAGATTAAAGCTGGTTCTTTCAGGGAAGTGATAAAGCAAGGAGGTGAGGGGCTTCTCCCTGGCCCTCTTCCACTGTTCTCTGCACGACTTCACCCAATGTCATTCTAAAGGGGACTGATATTGTCCCCACAGACCGTGGCTATCGGCTTAAGGATTATAAATACAACATTGGCCAGAGCACTCCCAAATAAACATTTTCCCTTTATTTCAGAAACAAAAGTGTCGAAAAAGGGGATCTTAATCTTGCTCTCTCAACAGCAAAATTATCAAGTCCTAAAACAGATACTCCTAAGAATGGCTGATTTTAGTGACAGGTAGCGTTCCTCAATAAAAGTAATGAATGATTAATAATAACTAATATTATCAATAATGCATAATCAAAAACCATAAAGAAGTATTTGTTTTAGATCCATTTATTTTTAAGAGCCACGATTAGTTCTGCGCTCTGCTTCCCTTCCACGATATGGCCTATACTTACAGTGAGTTCAGAGAGCGCAGTCCTTGGAAAGCATCTGGAGCTAGTTCAGAGATCTGATTATTGCTCAGGTCTCTAAGATGAGAAATAGGGTTAGGTTAGATGAAACAGAATGCCAGCGAGATTTACTGCAGGAGAAAGCTATTTATCGCCTTTACATGCTGATTGTGCATCTATCGATACGCGTATACAATTTACAACATAAAACATCTGAAGAATCCTAAATTAAAAAAAACAAAACCCTTTTAAATCAATTGGCTATTTTCTTAAATTATTACAAAAGATGTCATGTCTTATTTTTGAGAATTGATCATCTAAGATTTGTCTGCATACTGTATTAACCACACACATTCACAATATGATAAATTATAGAGAACTTAAAAATATTACATAGTTTAGCTATTAACATTACAATATTATAGAACTAGCAATCAAATAGTCACATCACTCAGTATTTAAGCTGTCAAATACCTGAATATTCATACTCAAATGGGTGTCTTTGCTTGGTCATGACCTGCATAATTTTAAAAATTACATATATTTCAGAATATTATTCACTCACATTCTTCTAAGCTTTTTATATGGTGAGAAAGCTCCAGGAGGGATGACCTTGATTGAGTTCTGTTCCAGACGTCTGTAATGAAAAAATTTAATATTTAAATGGAAACATGAGCTCTCAGATACATTTAATTCGAGCCTAGAATTCATGTCAAGATGCACAGCCGATGCTCTTCATGAGAAATATTTTCTTTTTTCCCAAAAATGACTACTGAAACTGATTGTGCTGTGCCCTAACTGTGGAGCAAGATCAGGAATAAAACCCAGGCAATTATAAAAACAATTAAAAAATCCCAATTTTTAGGTATTACATGTCATTAATATTTAAATCTGGACTTTGTATAAAAAAGAAAGTACCTTTAAGAGACTAATCTGGGAGTACGTTTTAAATAACCTCAATTTCAGTAAGAGCGACGCACAGTGACACTGAATAGATATGTGACGTGTTTTAGAGATAATTATAACTCTTTCACAAAGGAAATTATTGTCGAATATTAAATTTTACAAACCTTTTATGCTCTCCACAGAAAGTGTATTATAGTTAAAAGAAAAAGTTGTTATACTCAGAAAACTTTGAAGCTTCTGAGAAAGGAAAATCTTAAATTCTAAATCTGTTAAGGGCTATACGTATTTTCAGTAAGACTGGACTCTGTTGATTCATTATGTGACTATTTCATGCGAAAACCACCGCAGCAAAGTGCATTCAAACACAACCTAAGTATTTTTATGATGCACTAAAATCAGAGAGATGAAAATAACTGTCCCACCTTTTCTACTCTATGGTTCTACTGTCAGAGAAATACAGATTTTCCCCACCTGGTTATGAAAGACACAAAGAAACAGATTTCACTAAGTGTTTTTGGTAAATATTTTAGTCCATCAAAAAATGGTGCTTCTCAGCCTCATATCGATCCATATAAACATCCTATTAAATACACAGTTCCCATGCCCTTCCCTTCTTCTGCTCTATATCCCAGAGAGATGACTCTGTGAACCATCTGCCAACTTGCTTTTGTGAAACTTGGCCAATGAGAAGCACTTAGCGGGAGACTGAGGGTAGGAAGGGAGGAAGAAGCCAGGATAGTGTCCCTCTGTGCCTCAGGGGATGTCCTCAGCAGGGTCTCCTCTCCTTCCTTGTTTCACCTCTGGTTGGGGACACCTCCTGCCTTAGTACAACATCACTTTCTTCTTAGGTCACTGCAGGCCTGTCGTGAGGGGGCGGAGTGCGGGGAGCTGCAGGGAAGAATGCAGCTTTCTAATTTCTGTGTCGCCTACAAGTGTTTAATTTATTCCTCATATTAAATCCCTCGACTGAAATACCTGGCATGAGCTCTGTTTTCCAATGTGAATTAAAAAAAAAAATATGACAAACTCCCAAACCAAATAGATAGAAACAAATGAGTAGACAAGGACACACACACACACACACACACATGCATACATATGTAGATACATACATATGTAGATATGTATATATATTCATGAATAAATATTGAGAATATATATTCATTACATATGTGTCATATTCACTGGTTCATTTTTATTTAATGTTGGTAATTCTTTAACATATGTAATTGTTTAATGAACATCAAATCGAAACAAACAAAATATCCCTAGGACGTTAAGTCAAACGACCTAAATTTTGGTCTTTTCTGATACCAGAGTCCTTTCACAGAACCATGTTTTGCATGTGTTTATACATAAAGATAAAAATGTATAGTTTCATGATTAAAAGTATGAGCTTATATAGACTTGGATTAAATTCTGGATCTGCCACTGATTAGCTCTCTGGTCCTCAAAAAGTTACTTTGCTTCTTTGTGTCTCAGTTTCTCTTTCTGAAAAATGAGGAAAATAAAGTCTACTATAAATGTTTTGGTAAAAACTATGAGATGTAGAAAAAAATGTTTTTTTCTTGAACAAAAAATGATGAAAGAATAAAAATATGGGAATATACAAGCGTATATATGTACTCACACATATAATATATAGGATTATATTATAAAATGTCCACAGCACGTATTAGACACACATATACACACAGAGATTATATAAATGAATAAATCCGATTTCCTCTCTAGTGTGAAATAAATATATGTGATTCCAAACATATTTTAAAATAAATTAGCAGTACGGATTTGCAGATAACTCAGTAACTATATATTAAACACATATACCCATACATCATTCATATGGAGGCTGAAAAATATATATGATTGCAATTTTCATGATCAACATGGTTAAAATACAGCATTTTCTCTAATTTCGAAACTGTCTTAGAAACTCAAAAAAGTTTTTACAGCACCAGTAAAGTATAAGATTGGACTGATTGTGTCTGTAACATACAGCCCAGATGCTGATTATACACGGTAATAAAACTGACAGTTCTTTGCATTTTCCCCATCTGCTTTTAATGTAAATGGCAAAAACAGCTGCCAGAGAATAGAACATAGATTTACTAGGGTGAAGGGGAGAGGGGAGTGTGGGATGACTCTAGCTTCTGAATCTTGGACTGCCCAGTGTAGCCAAACATTCTCATCACAGGTAACGTTGGTCCAGCATTTGAAAATACTCCTTTGTTAGGGATTTTCTTTCCAATTACATACTAATTCTAAAATAAGGACTTTCTATTTCTGGCACGTTACTTCTAACTTTAGTAGGAAATATATGCCATTGAAATCCTTCATATATCCCCACATTAAATGACCCAAGACTACTGTAGACTATAATATTATTTGTTACATAGCCGCAGTCTCTAGAACTTGAGTTTAATAAATATCTTCAGCAGCTAAGTGAATATTGGCCTCGAGAGGGACATACTCTGCATATAGCTAGCATTTTTGCCTGAGGACTGTGACCATACTAATTGATTATCAGTCATTCCTTCCTTGGGATAAATTATTCCTGAAAATTGTCCATTTCCTTAACCTTATTTTATTTTTTTTCATTCCAGGGTACATTCCCCTGAGTGTAAATTCAATTGATGTTTTCATAGCAGAAATAACTCTTTTCCCATTAGGTCTTTAAGCATTTAAAGCAAGACAAAAATGTGTATGTATTTTGTGTGTGTGTCTGTATGTGTGTGTTCCTACTGACTTCATATTTCAGGCAGTGATCTTTTCAATATTAAAATTTTCATGCGTCCATTCAGATGGATGCATATTCAAATGCAAAGATACACTCAATACACACAATCACTTGGTTTAGATTTAGAGGAAAATTTAGAGGCAAATGGCTCACGATTTTGGGGTTACAGAGTATAGATTCATAATGTCAATAACACTGTTTTCGTATTTGAATTTTCTTTAGCGATCCAAGAAAGAAAAACAGAAATTCTGGTGTTTTGTTTTTCATTAATAACTAAAACCTTGTGGACGCTTACTATGAGTCAGGCACTAAACTAAGTTCCCCATCTGGTAATAATTTTAGTTTTAAAAACATTATGCAAATTATCTTACACATCGCTTATCTAACAGTATTACTCAATGAGTGGGTAGCAACTTGCATTGTCTCCCACCCCTGCACTGAATTATTGTCCAAGTTATCCATTATATTTCTCCTAAAGTTTAGATAACACTGTGATTACTAATGGAATTTGAATTATATAAATGTTAAACTTAATCATTCTAGCTGCTTATATAATCATAAATCTATAAGTTAATTTCTAAAACTACAATTTCATTCGTCCGAATGAATACTACTTTGACTATGCCCTAGCTGATGGGTATTCATTTTTTTCCTGTAGAAGGTTTTACAGAAATACCACAACTTCACAAGGGTCACTCCTTGGAAAAGCCTCCCATCCCTATTTGCTGCGAAGCTTGCCTTCATCTTGCCTTAGAGAGACTGTTGCTATCACTTTCTCAGTGGGATCCCTTCCTACAAACTACTTTCTTTTCCACGATAGAGTGATTTTTCTAACAAATCTAATCATGCTACTACCCTGCTCAAATTATCTCTTGTACCCTATTGTTATCAGGATAAGTGATTATTCAAGAATAGGCTTTTGCTTTATGTTCTAGCATTTGAAAAAAGTTGTAATTTCTCAAAGATATACTACCTCTCACTTTTCTGGGATTTTGCACACATCTAAAAAGTCCCCAATTTTTCTGTCTGCAAAACACATCCTCATACATGAGGATTCCTTAATTCTCCCAGGCAAACCAAGGCATTTCTTTCTCTGGGATCCCTGTGCATATATCTATTTTATTACTTATTATATAGTTTTTAAAATTTGTATTTGTGTAAAACCTCAATTCTCTGCAGTGTAAACATTTTGAAGGCTGAAACTGTGTCCTTTCGACTGTGATGTCTAATGTAGAGTCGGCACTCGAGGGGATGGGTGAAAAAGGTAAAAGGGATTTTATAGATGCGTGTGTGTGTGCGTGTGTGTGTGTGTGTGTGTGTGTATAATATGTAGAATTTAATAGAATTACTGGTTTAAAATTTTAGAGGAGGCAAATGCGTAAATAACATGCAAAAATGGTGTAAACATAATGGGAAGAGTGTTTGTCCAAACAAAAAATGGAGGAAAAAGATGTATTTTAAAAGTTATATTCAGTATCATAATATAAATAAAGGCTGTAATCAGAGATAGTATTCAAGAACTAGTCTTATTCTCACTTCTTTATAATTATGCATGCGAATGATTCAGAGGAATTAAAATGAAGAGAAGTTCTCCCTAACCCCATCCCCAGCCTCCATCGTGAGTCTCTTTGAAAGAGCTTTCTTTAAATACTGGGAGAATAAGAGCGGTCCAGTGAGTTCACACAATAAAGTGACTTTCCTTTACCTATCTGAATAATGCAGCCAAAAAAAAAAAGCTCTTATAATTTCTGAGAATTTGCAATCCATCTCAGAAAACATCGAAACAACACTCAGTGTTCTGACGACATTGCTACCATCCTTTCCCTTCTCATAATTTAAACTTTTCCCCGATCATCTTCCCTCAAACAAATCAAAGAAAGACTTGTATGGCCCCAGCTTCCAAGCCCTAAAAGAGGCAACCAAAAGTAAAGACAGTAGGATACGAGAGTAAATGAGACCTTCTAAATTGTTACAGCCGATGTTCTTACTAA